TGACACCCGCGTATACCACATTTATGTTTCGGTTGTCCTACTACGCCTCCTTAATCCTATCATAATGATTTAGTAAGTGTGACAAGCGTGATCTCCCGGCTCTAAATCCATGCTGGTTTAGGTTGTGCTGTTCCATCCAATATCACCCTTTCTGAGATTTGTGATTTGTCTGTCTTTTTTTCCACAGCACTCTACTGCTTCCTGTATGTAAAGGAGCTGTGTCTAGTGATGGGACGATACCAATTGTTTTACCGATGCTCAATTTTAGGTCAATGCCAATACTTAGGCACACCCCTACCTACGTATGTATGCTAAGTCTGGAACTTCAGATATGATGATAATCAACCATGTTGACCTGGGTGTCACCATGTTGACCTGGTTCTTACCACCTAGTTTTCAGTAAAACTGGTATATAGTTTATCTTCTAATAATAATCTATAACTCAACTCTTGAGCTTCATAGCTCACTTGCTGAGTTGAATTCTGTTGTTTATCTTCAGAATTGAATTCTTCTGCTCACCTTCAGAATTTAATTCTGCTGCTCACCTTCGGAGTTGAATTTCACCGCTCTCCAGAATTTAATGCCGCAACAAACCAGTGGAAAGAAATTCGTAACACTCCTTTAGGATATAATTCTATACTTCGCCTCAAGAATATAATTTCGTCACACAAACGTAGTGTGGTTACCCCTCACCTTCGTGTGTGTGTGTGTACTCGCCTATTTGTGGTTGCAGGGGTCGAGACATAGCTCCTGGCCCCTCCTCTTCACTGATCGTGTGTGTGTGTTAATATTTAGCCAAAGGTGAAGTACCCAGTTGCCCTTTTAACTCTTAAAAGTGTATTGAAAGCACCCTTGGACTGATTCTCTTCAAGGGAGTGATTGATGCTGGTGAAGGGCTCTTGATCCATGGAAATGCCGCTACCCTTCCCTTCATGGGATCATCGCCTCCTGTGGTCCGGTCTCAGACCAGCCCTCGTAAATTGTAACGGAAATATATTAATTAGACTAGAGCATTAAGAGCTCTGCCGGAAAATTAAGGCAAGTATATAATACTAATTGTAAATAGAAGTTTGCAGTGTTTAATTGACATATTACAGTCACGACGGAGTAATGTCTGCCAGAGTGCAACATGTTCAACAGGCTACCGTTTCCCACTTAACATGAGAAGAAGGTAGCGCTTCCTTGGATAGTTGTTGTATGCCAGCCTGCTAGCTTCTTGTGGTGTCAGTGTCTCATATTTATTGCACCATGTGATGTAACTATGGAAGTGTTGTACTGCCAGAAACTACCGTAACTCTCGGGCGGTACGATCTTTAGGGTAAGTAACACTTAGCAGCAAATGCAGTATATACCTAGAAGTTACTCGACAGTTGTAGATCGCATCTTTGGAAGGAAACCAAACAAGAAACCAAGTGAAGAAAAACAGGTGATTTTTTTCGTGGGTATTCCTGGGTTACTGGCTAAATTAATTCAAATAAAATCTTGTTCATGTTCCTTGTATATGGCCTGTAATGTCCGCGTGTCCCTTGTGTAGCCATAGAGTGAAACGAACAAGTAGTGAATTTACCCCATTGAAGTCCTGTCGTCATGTGACATTTGCACGAGGGGTTGAAAATGTCAAGCGTGCTGCTAGACTCCGGGACAAAATGTACTCCATGTACAACCTTCAAATTGCTGAAATAAATAGGAATGTGTTTTTTCAATAGTCTGGGCTGTAGAAGATATTGGATGTGAGTGTTGGATTTTGAGTTGTTACGTCACTTAGTTACCTATCTGGAGTCTACCTGGAGGGTATTCCGGGGATCAACGCCCCCGCGGTCCGGTCCACGACCAGGCCTCCCGGTGGATCAGGGCCTGATGAACGAGGCTGTTACTGCTGGCCGCACGCAATCCAACGTACGAACCGCAGCCCGGCTGATCCGGCACCGTCTTTAGGTATCTGTCCAGCTCCCTCTTGAAGACAACCAGGGGTTTACCGGTAACGCCCCTTATTGCTGGTGGGAGGCTGTTGAACAGTCTTGGACCCCGGACACTTATTGCATTTTCTCTTAGTGTACCAGTGACGCCCCTACTTTTCACTGGGGGTATGTTGCATCGCCTGCCAAGTCTTTTGCTTTCGTATGGAGTGATTTCTGTGCGCATATTAGGGACCAATCCCTCCAGAATCTTCCAGGTGTAGATTATATCTCTCTCGCCCGTGCTCCAGTGAATACAGGGCAAGTGCTTCCAAGCGTTCCCAGTAGTTAAGGTGTTTGATGGAACTTATACGTGCAGTATAGGTTCTCTGTACATTCTCTAGATCTGCAATTTCACCTGCCTTGAATGGGGATGTTAATGTACAGCAGTATTCCAGCCTACCTGGTTACCTGGAGGTTAGGTAACCAGTAGAGAGAACAAGTGGTTTAAAAAGGATCATCATTGGCTTAGCATCTCTTGTCTTGAATGTTCTCATTATCCATCCTAGCAATTTCCTCGCAGATGTGATAGTGGCATTGTTATGGTCCTTGAAGGTGAGGTCTTCGGACATTACCACACCCAGGTCCTTCACATTACTTTTCCGCTCTATTGTGTGATTAGAGTTTGCAGTATACTCAGTCCTAGTTATTATTTTCTCCAGTTTTCCATAACGGAGTAGTTGGAATTTGTCTTCATTGAACATCATATTGCTCTCTGTTGCCCATTGGAAAACTTGGCTTATATCTTCTTTGAGATTTGCCGTGTCCTCAATGGATGACACTCTCATGCAGATCCTAGTATCGTCTGCAAAAGATCACACAGTGCTGTGGTTTACATCTCTGTCTGTCTGATATGAGAATAAGGAACAGGATAGGTGAGAGTACTGTGCCTTGTGGGACAGAGCTCTTCACTATGGCAGCATCTGATTTAACTCTGTTTACCACTACTCTTTGTGTGCGATTAGTTAGAAAGTTGAAGATCCATTTACCTACTTTGCAAAGTTATCCTTTTAGCACTCATTTTGGGATGACTGGCAAAGTAGGCAGATGGATCTTCAGCTTACTAACCAATCGCACACAAAGAGCAGTGGTAAGCAGAGTTAAATCAGATGCAGCCATAGTTTGTTAGATTTAAATCCTATCGGTTGTATGATAGTGTCAACAGGTCGAGAAGTTTATTTTTTTATACATCAGTCTATGTATGTACGCAGGGATGTACACCTCCCCGTTAACATATATTGAAAAATGAGCACTTCACTCTGTATATACCAAGAGATTACAACTCTCACTGTATATTCACTGAGATGCGTGTCCCTCAGTACATGTATTCAGATATGCATTCCTCGGTGCATGTACACAAACATTTGTATCTTTGTTATACATTGAGAGATGTGCATCCATGTATATACACAGACATGCCTTCGTATATTTACTGACATATATGCACCTGTTTGTATATACACACGTACACTTCTCAGTGTATACGCACATCTCGATGTATATCGATTTTTAATTGGCAGCTACACTGTTATAATTGCAGGGGAAGCTCTGAACCCAAAAGGGCTCCTGATCCAAGGACTTCAGGCTGCCTTTATTTTTATCGGCCGAGACCCAAATGCCTCTCCCTTCCTCTGCCAGTCACCTTACCCAGCTACACCGTCAATTTAGTAATGCTAATACACAGAAAGGCGAATTTTAAACTTAAGACACTTTTGTGATTGTTTTTGAAGTGTTGCAACATCGTGATTGTTTTTGAAGCGTTGCAGGAACGTAACGATGTAATTAGCGGAAACGGCTGCAGCAGCAACGGAAGTGGCGTCCCACTAGGCCAGGCGGAGCCCCGGCTCTTCAACACCCTAAGCCTTCATTTACTATTTCTTTTTTACAGATGTGACCAGGGTGGACTAAGGTATGACCAGGGTGTGACCTGGGTTCGACTAAGGTGTGACTTTATATCACGCACCTTTACAACATATGCCTTTATATCACGTACCTTTATATCACGTTCATTTATATATATTACGTACCCTTGTATCCGTACCTTGTAGATAAGCAAAACACATTTTCAGCAATTAGGTATCTATATAAAAATGTACCTAAATGTTGCAAATGTGTCTTATCGACATTATATGACATTGTTCCAGAGCGGTCAATAAAAATTTTTTGTTTTTCAGATATTTCTCCTACTGATAGTTTCATGCTTTTATTATGCGTCTCACATCTATGCTGTGGATATGAGGCGCACTGTGTGCATCTGTAATCAAAAGTTTACAGAGGTACGTCATGGGTTCAGGGGCTGGGCGCCCATGTTGTGGTGGGTCAGGAAGCTTACGGAGGTGCATCATGGGTCCAGGGGCAGGGCCCCTCATGTTATGGTGGTTCAGGAAGCTAGAAAGACACATCAAGGGACTGAGCCCTCATGTTATGGCGGTTCAGGAAGCTACAGGGGCACGTCATGGGTCCAGGGGCTGAGCCTTCGTGTTATAGTGGCTCAGGAAGCTACAGGGGCACGTCATGGGTTCAGGGGCTGGGTCCCTCATGTTTTGATGGTTCAGCAAGTCACGGTGGTAATAATGAATTATTTGCAAACATATAATCTTGGCTTCAGTGGTAACGAGTTCTAAAGACTGGCTTAATAAATCCCTTCAGGGGGCAAGAAAGTCTAAAGTGTGAATTTGAAATTGATTTCCTATGAGGGGATAGAGCCACTCAATGTAAGGTCACTGAGACCATCCAAACAGAGTTGTGAAAGTAACATCTCGCGCAATTGCAGATATTCGAAGACCGAGTGTATTCGGTCCTGCCCGTTTGGGGTATACCATTTTTGAATGTTGCAATGTTGCATTGGTTGTAAAAAAACGAAATAAGTATTTTTTAAATTTATTATACAAGTAGACAATATAAAAAACATAAATGGAACTTGTTTCTGAACAATTTGTAACCAGTAAAAAAATAGAAATAGGAACTACTTATCAACAATGACACATTGCAATGGGATGCAACTTACAAATGAAATATTCCTGAGTTCCCTGAGAAAGAACAATCATTTCACATCACTAATTTTGCAAATGAAAGTTCATGAAACAATTTTTATCCTTCTTTATGCACAGATTTACTTTACATATGGCACAGCAAAATGAGGATGTGACATGATTATTCTTTTTGCTGCAAAACTTGCATGAAAGCAGCTTACCTAACACTGGCCAGTGACCTAGCTGTTTATCCAGCCTCACACTGTCATCTGGCCTTTCTGCACGTTGGTACTGAAATGCAGATGGGTATTCCACGTTTGACAAAGCTTCATTACTGGTGTCTACTTGAGAAGCAAGATCATCTTGAAGCACTTCTTCATCAGGGTATTCCTCCATAGTAATACGTTTCTTCCTCTTGTTCAATTTTTTTTTTTTTGGTGGTGGCGCAGCTTCCTCCTCCCCATCTGTTGACACCTCTGCATCTGGTGGCAAGAATTCATCCTCACTATCCAGGAAATCCATGTCATCTGAGTCTTGATCTGAGTCAGTATCATCCCAAACACAGACAAATTTCGAGGTAGCCTTGGAGGACTCACCGTAGAACAATTTCTTATTGATCTGGAAGGACAATAAAAACATTCTGTACACACCCAGACCATTACTGAATTCATATATACACTACCAAATTTTATGGAAATATTTATATACCGAAACTTGAAAACTGCACCTAAAAGGGCAGGAACGGCCGTGCATGGTCCTATTTTGTTGCACTTTTTTCATTTGCATGGTGCACTCGTAATATGCTTCACAACGCCTTCATATATATATCAAAATATGGCTAAACTATTCATTTACACACTAGACACACAAATCAGTACTTACCGACATTGTATTGGGTGAAATGCTTCAGTATATAAGGAGCACTATACCGAGAAACACGAGTTTTGGCGCCGGCAAGGTAGAAGTGTTTACATTCTGCTGTCTCGACCAATGGGAAGCGAGCAGCCGCCATCACCGCTCAGCCTGGGCGACTCAGGGAAGGTCTGTGATTGGTCAGAAATAGAGAATGGGAACCTAGATGCGCGGCGGGAGTTGTAGGACGTGCGCAAAAAACCACGCTATGAGGACCGACTTCACTCGGGTCTGCCCGGTAAAGGGTGGTGTGTAAATCTTGAATTTTTCACTACCTTCAGTGGAGGCTTCTCGTAAAGAGCTCTTGATCTAAGGAATTTATGCGCCCCCTTGCATCACACCTGAAAGCCTCTCATTCCCCCAGCTCAACCCCCAACGGGTTTAGTGCTTTTCTGTGGTTATAGAAAAGCGTAGTATAGCCTAAATCTCCCCGACAGTTAGGGTCGCCTTAATTTTAGTTCCTTATTTACTGTCAGTGAAATGTATTAATTTCCTGGTCAGCCCTTCGTGGTACTTACCTTGATGCTAGTGAAGGGCTCTTGATCCAGGAGATGAAAGCTCTCCTCCCCATCCTCTGATCAAACCTGTTTACCTTGTATTCCCCAGGTGGTGTACGAGTTAATCGCTTCCCCATGAATATAATAATTATAATTATTATTACTGATATTATTATTATTAGTTTTATTATGATCAGATTGATTTTTGGGGAGTTAAAGGAAAATAATAATCTTCACGACTACGGTGCTCTTCACACCAACTCCAAGGCTGAGGGACCGATTACCTCACCTTTTGTTTATAGTTCTACTGTCGTCCAGTTATGTCCTAGAATTTGTATTAATAAAGACACTGGATGGCAAAACGTCTATAGTAAAGCCACCCAGATGTTGCATGTGTCTAATTTTCATTAAAATAATATATGATCGGTTTGTTATTTGTCATTTACTGGAATCGTTAATAGCATATTCCAGGCGAAGTCATCCCGATGAACTAATTAAATATTAAAAAAAAAATGCAGATTTTTTCATTACGATATTTGAATCGATGGACAATGGTGAAAAATGGGACATTTGAAACATTAATGAGCCTTTTGGAGGAGGATTGACAAGAGACTTAGTCTTAGCAAGAGAAATGAAGTCATTCTCTCCTAGGTTAATTATGCGCGTGAATGGGGAATAATCAGAACGTATAGCACAAGTTTTCGCAATAAACAGTAATAACATGACTTCGTCTAAAGAAATATTCCTGTTTGAAGGATGAAAGAATTCTTAGTGTCTCGGGTGAAATGTTTAAAGCCCCACATGCAGTTATAAATCAAGAAATTTCTCAGTGTATTTACCCCGAGAGTTCACTTATAATCCAATCTCAAACAATTAGTGATGAGGTGAATTATTGCCTTGATAGACCACATGCTGTCATCAGAGACTGCAGCAAGCTGTGTGTGTGTGTGCACACAGCAGGTGTCAGTCAGCAGTGCAGCTCTGGTGGCAAGGACCTGTACCACACCCGGACTCTCCACCTCAGTCTCACCTCTAAGATTCTACTAGTTTCAGAAATTAGTTTGGGGGTGTCCGGTTATTTTAAAACATATGCAATATAAAAGGCACAAAACAAGAGATAGCTCCTGAAGTCTGTGAAGATTGGTTAATGTTTCACTTGTTTGT